ATATTTAGAGATATTTATGTAATATTTATATTTGTCAGAAGAATATCTCGGATGTATACTATTATCTGATAAAAACTCCATTGATCTACGTATTGTTTGATGCTTAAATCGTTTGTGTAATGAAACGATGGCTATATCTTTGTTTTAATTTTAACAAAAAAAAAATTAAAATGGTTTATAATTTTCCTTTCCATCAGTTAACTTCAGTTGTTGCTTGCTTTAACTTAATACACGCTTCTACCTGTATTTTTAAATCTTCTTTTTGGCTCTGTTCTGTACAGTTGTACAACTGTTGCTACTAGCGGTACCCAAACATTTCTGTTTTATACTAAAGCTTGGAATGCGTACATCTGCAGGCCCTCCCTTCGGACTAATTTGGGAACCAAGAGAAGGGAGACCACTGATCTCGCTGAACAGTAGCTGTTAAATTTGATTTTAATATTGGATGCATGGCAGTGAGAAGAGGCAGATTAAATAAAGATTACGAAAGCAATCAGATCGAAATCGATCGAAATATTCTTAAACTAAACTAAAACTAAACTTCTAAAACGTATAGGTTTTCTCACGCTTTTTTTTTCACCGGTTCACAACCAAGCACGTGATTAATCGCAATTCAATTGTAATTCACCAATTCAATTGTACCTACAGGGAACGATCTCGAGTTTGAGTTTTAATATGAGCCCCAGACCCTTGCTACCACGTCTCCCTGGTTTTGTTTTCAACTTACATTCGTTTAATTCTACTTTTAAGTAATGTATAATATACTGTAATAAGAGCGTATGACTTTCAAATCAGCTAACGTATTCCGTTATATGGAAATAGACATCTGTGATTGCTATTGCGGCATTCCATTAGACCTAATGAAATATTTAAACCAACTGTGAGCTATGTCTGGATTTTCATTGGAATGCATTAGATTTATTATTCTTCAGTAATATTTGAATTTTACTTTAATATGTGTAAATGGGTCGTATTGTGTATCACTTATGGAGTAGTAACCAAGTACATAATAAACATTATTTACTTAATGTGTTTATATTACCCAAAATAGAATTTCCTAATTTGAACCCAAAATAAAATTTTATAATTTTATTTTGAGTTATGTAACGTTTATAGTTTTAAGCCAGTTCCTCTGATCGAAACACGCAAAACTTCTTTGTAGAATATTTTGTGATTATTTATTTTTAAACAAGCATGCAAACAAAAACTTGCATTAATTACGTAATAACGGCTGCATTTTTAGAACAAATAGTTTTTTTTCTAAGATACACTATAGTTCGTCGTTCAATAGAGTGATAGGTTCAATAGAGCTTCCACTAAAGTTCTAGAGCTTCCCTGAGACAAGCAGCAAACTCAAAGCAAATATTTCCATTTTATTGGTTCTGTAAGTTGTTACGAAATACTATTTGTTTTCTTGGCAAGTGTGGCAGTGTATTTAACTATGTGTAGGGGATATAATATATCATAATAAATATAAAAATGAATATAAATAACGTTAACATTACTATAATAAGTACTATCATTATATACAGAAAAGTTCATTATGAGCATTTACCTTTCTATCTGATAGTTATTCAAGACCCTTGAGGTTATTTGAAGCAATTTTTCGAGAGTCAGAGTGCAACGGAGCTGCTGACTATGTCGAGACACAGAAATCTGAGTATTAATAAAGAGTTAAAATACTTTAAAAGTAATTAAAAAATAGTAATATCGTCATCAGAGAGGAGCTTTTCTTGAACGATTAACTTTAAAATAAAATTGAAGGCAAGTGGCATTCAAATAGCTTTTTGAAACGTCTTCTTAATAGTTATTTGAAGTCATTTATGCTTTTCCAACTGCTTTGGAAAAACTAGATAAATTGGAATACACTGATTTATCTTTGTCTACTTATATATAAATTTCTAATTTAGAATTTGATATGACTAGTCTGGTAAATGAACGTCCAAGTTTCAAATATCTCCACGTATTCCAAAGATTCCGACTCTACTGTTTTTAAAAGGATATTTGTCTCTGTAACTGTTTGTGACTGTGCATATGTGTGCTTGAAAGCATTCGTGCGTGCCAAAAAACGAGTGAACCTTTTAATTAATAACTGATCGTAAAGGCAGATGACATCGTACACACACCTAATTATTCACTCCATAATAAATTTCGACATCAAAATCAGAAAGTTTGGATATTTATTTAATGTATGAATGTTTGTTGTTAATTTACGCCTAAAGGCTGACAGGATTTTGACAAATATGAATATACGTACGCTAGAATAATAAAATATCAGTATAATGATGATATTATGTCACAATAATAGTGTACTAGTATCCAAGGAAAACACATACCACCTTCACTTGTTAGGGGTTGAGATTTCTTTGAAAGTCAACTTTGGGCAGTTCACTGCATACAAGGCCAAAGTCGTAACAGAACTAAATGTCCTTGCAAAGTTGCGGCGATGCTTCGCGCCTGGATAGCTTCTTACCATATATAAAGCACAACTCCAATCTTAAATGGAATACCGCTGTCACGTATGCATCAGCAAACTGCGATCTAGCAGTAGTGGAATCAGCGGTAGAGGTGTGTTAAAGAGATCATTGATTACTTTAGTTAAGTTGAAACCAATTTTGTAAGCTTCGAGTACAGGCGCCAACTTCTCGGTATCGTACTGGAAACATTTCCGAGACTGTGCGCAGGAACGACATAATTCAATTCCCCCTTCCACTTAGTTGCAGATATTACAATCGTTCAAACTAAATACTTTGCTGTTTGGTCTTGCACAATGAGTACAGCAAATAAGTTGTCGTGAAGCGACAATAAAGAACAAAAAGAATCTAACCTAAGAACAACAAAACAACAAAAATACAACAAAAACAAAAAATATATTTAAGATTCAAAGATATTTACAATTTTATACAAAAATGGAGTATGAATATGAGGATGGATGATGCGATTTACAGATTATTTAAAAAAAGTAATAAAAAAAAAGAGAGATTAGTGCCGAAGTTGAGTCTGAAGATCCAAGGTGTGCTTTCAGCGCCTGGAACGAGCACGCACGGCGTAGGTGAGAAGGCGTGGGCGTCTCTAGGCGACGACCTCCGGTGAATGTGGTAATTGCAGGATCCGGCGATTTCAAGCCAGACAGGGGCTTGCAGGATCCTCAGCGGCTTCAGACAACACAGAAGCCTGCAGGATCCGGTGACTGCAGGCGGGACAGAGGTTTGCAGGTTCCGGTGACTTCAGGCGGAACTGAGGTTTGCAGGTTCCGGCGACTCCAGGTAGAGCAGAGACTTGTAGGATCCCGGCGACTTCAGGCAGAGAAACGGTTTGTAGAGTCCAGCGACTTCGGGTAGAGCAGAGGTTCGTAGAGTCCAGTGGCTTCCGGCAGGACAGAGGCTTGCAGGATCCCGGGGCAGTGCGGCCCCGGGATAAGGCCTTTAGGAGATGCTTCCAATTCGAGAACTGAAGCGAGACTGCCTTTCTTCACCGATTGTTCGGCTTTTATACCTTTCTAGAGAGAACGGAAACATTATTTAAATTAAACGAAAATTTTTTGTAAATGGTCAAGAGAAAAGAGTATTTATGTGGAATTATCGAAATAGAAACAACAGACCGGTAGCAAATTTGAATATAATTGCTATGGAGACCAAATAAACAACAATGTCAAAACATGTCAAATTTTGGTTTTAGGCTTGTAATAAGAAAACGGCAAGATTTAAGTGGAAAATGAGATATTATTGATATAGGAAAAAAGGTAGCGCAATTGCCCACACAAAGCCCGAGATTGTAGAGTTACGGAAAACTAACTAAAAGATCGAAAAAAGGTAGACTCCATTGACACCAATTTAAAAGTGCTGATAATGTGAAAATACGAAGTAGAAATGATTTGTTATTGTGTTCTTATGGTTTAAAATCGTTACAGGATCCTATGGAAATAAAGGTGATGTAAAATATCCAGTTTTGAAGTGAATGCAGAAAATCGAAACAGAATGGAAAAATGAATTTAAAATAATGTAAAATGATATGTAAGTAGCATAACACTACAAAGTGAATAATTTGCTAGCGTCTGTCTTTTGAGCCGATTACAATTTGGTTATCATCAAGGCAAAAGTGAATAGGCTATTATTACGCTAAGACAATACGACAAACCATCAAGGGTTTTACTACCACTTACCAATTGCTGGGATTGTAGTCAAGCATTGGCTTATAATAAGTAAAAATTCAGTACAATTTAAAGTATAAATATAAGCAAATGCTCTGCTTTATTATTCGAGTTAGATTGTTAATTATTGGGCGTTTACAAGTTTACTAGAGTAGACTTAAATTACATATCAGTAATCTAGTACATGAATTTGAATGAGGGTTTGATATGTATGATTATCCCACAAAATACACAATTTACAGTATTTCGATATACACCACTACACTAGGAAAGACACACCACTGACAACAATACGACACGTGTTTCTCCTCTACCCGAGGCATCCTCAGGTGATGTAGACTCTACGGTGGCCGACCGTTAAGTGAGCGGTAAGCCAAAATAACTGCTTTTTATACAGACCGCTGACGCAAACGTTTCCTGCTTAAGGAGCGAGCGACCGCGTCATGCGATAAAACATGCGACCAATCACCGCCGGACTTACGCAGCCGTTTGTAAAATTAAAAACAAACCGCCGCGCAACGCCCGCCTACCCTCCAACCACGCAACCAAACGTCAATCACCGTGAATGTAACAAACGACCGTATTGTGACGCTGTCTGTTATTAGAGAGCAGGCTTAAAGGTGTTCAAGAGAGGTGAGTTAGAAACATTTGTTTGTTCATTCAGCAGTGCAACGTTACTATTATTTCTTTTTTTGCAACACAATAAGAAAAGAGACGGTTATATTTTTATTTGTACGGTTGCATTACGGGTACGAGTTCGCAAATCCATTGTGTTCACACTTCCTAACTCATATTTCCCTGATAATTAAACGTTGAGGCGTCTTTTACTTCAAAACCGGTTGGGTATACAATGCCGATCAACCGCACGCCGCCGCCCGCCTCGCCCGTGCCTATGAACTCCGATGATACACCGCATACGCGCGCAATCGACGCGATGGAACGGACGACGATACTTCATTGTGAATCTGCGCCTGATATTCCATCGCTTACGTTAAATGTCACCGAGCGTAAAAAAAGGAAACATGACGGAATGAATCCTAATATTATGTCTTATATGAGTGAAATGTTTTCAGTTTATACGAATGAACAAGCAAAACTTTTTAAAGATTTACAAACTATAGTTTCTAGTATAAAGGAACAGAACGATGAATTAAAAAAGAGCGTTGATATTATGTCAAGCAAGTATGATGAGTTTTTATCACGGATATCTGTTCTTGAGGCAGAGAAAAAGCAGGATAGATATATTATACAACAACTACAAGAGAAAATAGAAAATATGGAACGAAAGTCTAGATGTTCAGGAATAGAAATAAGAAACAAACCTAAAAACAATGAAGAAACAAAAGAAAATCTATGTAGCACTGTAAAAAAATTAGGGAAGTATTTGAACGTAAATTTGCAGGATTCGGACATAAAAGACGTGTATAGAACTTACTCTAAAACAGGGACTAGACCGGTTATAGTGGAATTCAATTCAGTCATCATTAAAGAAAAGATGTTAAATGAAGTAAAAAGATTTAATAAAACGAAACCAAAAAGTGAGAAATTAAATACTTCGCATTTAAATTACTCACAAAAAAACATCCCCATATATGTCACGGAGACGTTAACACAAAATACTCAAAAACTGTTCTATCAAGCCAGAATTTTCCAAAAAAATCATAACTATTTATTCTGCTGGACATCTAGAGGTATTGTATACATACGCAAGAATGAAAATTCTTCTCAAATTAGAATAAATAATGAAACAGATTTAGAAAATCTACGGAAGACCGAATGACTAGTATTAAGATTAAGATTCGATTTTTTCGCATCCTTTCTTTTCTTTTTAACTATAATAGGAAGAATAAAGTTTATTTTAACCTTATACCTTATAATACACATAGTCACAGTTTACACACAATACACAAACAAAATTCAAACATTATGCACACATACTTTCATTACATTACAACTAACACAATCATATTTTAAATTACACGTATATTTTACAATAAACCATATTCACTCATTTCATATATGCAACTTACAGTTACATTTTTCAATTAATTTATATAATAAAAGATATTATTTAATCAATAATGCGATTTTGTTAGAGAAATTTAAAATAATAAATATAAATAAAAGGCGATAACGCTCAAAGTTTCACCATTAACTTAGATAAAGTTACGGTATCGAAATCGATAGTTTGTGACGTTGAAGATTGTTATAAGTACTTGTCATCTAATGAATCCAACTTCACAATTATTACACAGAATATACGAAGTATTAACTGCAATATGACAGATTTTGAAGTATTGTTAACTAGATTAAAAATGGATTTTGATGTTATTGTACTAAGTGAATGCTGGCTGCTTAATAAGGACAACTTACCTAAAATTAATGGTTATAATTTATGCTCCACCAATTATAATAATAACCAGAATGACGGATTAGTAATATATATAAAAGAAAAACATTTGTTCACGGCTGAAGAGCCTCATTTTCAAGAAGGGAATTGTATGATAACAACATTGAATGATATTGTCATAATATCAATATATAGGTCACCGTCATATAAAAACTTAGAAAGCTTTTTTGTCTCTTTAGATAGAGTACTACAGAAATATTCGAAACATAAAAACATAATTATAATAGGAGATATAAATATTAACATTAAGAGTGATAAAACAGATATTAATTCCGATAAGTATTTGCAATTGACAGCATTCCATGGGTTGTTACCTACGCATACTCTAGTAACACGTGACGCGAGCGATTTGTGTATTGATCATGTTCTTTTAAAAACGAATAATCCTTCACTTACTATGGTTCCTCAAACATCAATTACTGATCACAAACCTGTAATTCTATGTATTAAAAAGAAACAACGTCAACAGTTTTTTACAACTACTATCAGAAAAATTGATCATGATAAACTTCGTTTAGATATGCAAAACATTGACATTTCACCCATATATGATGTTAAAGATCCAAATACTTCTCTTGAATACTTAGTTAATAAAATACAAACAGTCATTGAAGTTAATACTAAATTAATAAAGTTGCCAAGACAAAAAAAGATCATCAAACCTTGGATTACGACTGGACTTCTTAGATGTATTCGTCACCGTGATAAACTACATAAGAGGGCCAGACGTTTTCCAGAGAGTGAAAGTGATCAAATTATATACCGACGATATCGTAATCACTGTAACGCACTGCTAAAAAAGATAAAAAGAAATTATGAAAAAGAGCGAGTGAATATGGCTAAAAATAATAATAAAAAGCTATGGGACGTACTTACTGATATTATAGGTAACATGAAAAATAAAGGGTATAACAGAGAACTTTTGAATATATCCAGTACGCCACAATTATCTGTTAATCTTATAAATAATTATTTTGTAAATGTAGGTAAAAGTTTGGCAGAGAGTTTTAATATAGGAAATAATAATAGTGAAAGTTTTAATATTGACATTGGTAAAAAATCAAATTATAATTTAAATTCATTTGTTTTATTGGACACAGATGAAAGTGAAGTAGAACAATTAATTGCCAATTTGAAAACAGAATGCTCAGTTGGTTGGGATGGAATTTCAAATATATTTATTAAAATTTTTAAATATTTGTTAATACCTCCTTTAACTTACATATTTAACCAATGTCTAAATTATAGTGTATTCCCTAGATATCTTAAGAAGTCCGTAATTCGACCTATTTTTAAAGATGGTGACAAAACCTGTATAAGTAATTATAGACCTATCTCTATTTTACCTGCTTTGTCAAAACTTTTAGAGAATATTATAAATAATAGACTTACAAAATATCTGGAGAAAAATAAGTTACTGTCAAATACACACTTTGGTTTTAGACATTACAAATCGACAGAGCATGCCGTTCATACTCTTACAGATTTTATATCATCGAATTTAGATAGTGGAAAAAAGTGTATCTCAGTTTTCTTAGATTTGGCCAAAGCATTCGATACCGTTTCAATAAAAATACTATTAAAACGACTAGAAAATCTCGGTATCAGAGGCATTCAACTCAAATTATTTAAAAGTTATCTTTCTGAGAGATATCAATGCGTTGGTGTAAATAATATTAATAGCAATGATTTATTAGTAACCCATGGAGTGCCACAAGGAAGTATACTCGGACCAACCGTATTTCTTATTTATATTAACAATTTAACAAAATTTGATCTCTCTCAGGGACATATAATTTCATATGCAGATGACACTGTTCTGATATTTGCGGCGGATACATGGACAGATGTATTCTTATTAGCACAGGCAGGTATAAATGCAATTACTAATTGGCTTTACAGTAATAAACTCTCACTCAATATTAGGAAAACAAAATACATAGTCTTTTCATTAAGAAAACCTAGTCGTAATCTTGAAAATTTTAACTTAGTGATTCATTCATATAATTGCTCAACAAGACACAATAGCTGTTCCTGCCTTTCACTTGAGTCTGTTGAATATATTAAATATCTGGGGGTTATAATTGATAGTAATTTAAATTTTATACAACACATTAACACACTTAGCAGAAGAATTCATAAACTTATATATATTTTTAAAACTATTAGACACGTTTTGGATCCAGATATATTAAAACGAGTTTACTTAGCTTTATGTCAGTCTATTATAACATACTGCATATCAACGTGGGGTGGAGCTTCTAAAACGGTGTTACAAAATATTGAGATCTCTCAACGTGCTATTCTCAAAGTGGCAACATTTAAACCTTTCCTATACCCTACATCACAACTTTATGATAACTGTCAGGTCCTTACGGTAAGACAACTGTTTATATTAACGATCATTCAGAAACAGCATAGTTTATTGCTATACAACCCAACGAACTTAAATAAACGCAGGAAATTTTCTGTAGATACAACTAATTTTAAAACAACTTTTATAAGAAGATTCATTGCATTTTTAGGACCACGCTTATATAATAAACTAAATAAAACATTAGACATTTACCACCATAATAAAGTAGACTGTAAAAAAACTGTACAGATTTACCTACAAAAATTAAATTATAATGAAAGTGAAAACCTTCTTAGTATTCAGAATTAAACATAAATTCTTATATAACTCACACACAATGCTACCCGTATAAAAGTAATAATATCAAAACACACACACACACACACACACACACACACACACACACACACACACACACACACACACACACACCCACACGCACACACAAACATATACACACACATTTTACACACTCGACTCCTTAAATTGCTCACACACATTACACTCATTACACAAATACTTCTTACAGTCATACATTACACATCTTAGGAGAGAGGAATGACATTATTAGTATAAATTATTTTCTTTTTTGTGCCTTATATATATTATATATAGTATAAGTAATAACTTAGCATATGGAACATAACATGTGATCCATTAAATTTCATTGTACCTAGGCTATGTTAGCATAAGGTACAAACTCGTTAAACAATATTAATTAATTAACTTTTGCTTGCATCCTAATATTCATGTAAATTAACGGTGGGGATATGACGCTGACAGCTGATGCACAGGTCTCCTAGTTCGGCTGCAGATGCTGTTTCAAATATATGTACAAAATTAGCTTTATTAAGTGTTAAGCAAATATCTGGTTGTACTATGTACCTTTTTGGAAATAAAGAATTATTATTATTATTATTATTATTTTTAATATCTCTAACTGTTCCAGCACATACAGTCGCAACCCTTTATTACAAGTATGTAAGACTTTAAAGGAGTGGTCGTTGGCTACGTTGTGTCCAGTGTCCAAAAGATGTTTAGCAAAATGGGATTTATCGGTATTGCAATTCCTGTACGCGGCTAAATGCTCTTTATAACGTGTTTCGGAATTGCGGCCAGTCTAACCCACGTAAACGACGTGGCATTCGTCACAAACAATTTCGTAAACACCCTATTTTTGACGATTATCCAACTTATCTTTATTATTACAGACATTTCTCAGAGGATTGTTTATTTTGGATGCCACATAAATGCCGTTTTGTTGAAGAGTATTAGCTACTTTTTCAGATATGGGGCCAAAGTAGGTCAAACTGTTCACATATCGACAAATTCTTTGAGGTTGAACCGCGTACAGAGAGTTGCGAACAACATGCTTTTGTTTGTTTTTAATTAAATTGTTAATGAGATTTTTTGAAAAACCGTTAGTGGCCGTTATTTGATAAATTATATTAAGTTCTTTTATTACTTAATAGGACAGTGAAGAAACAATTAAGGTAACAATAAAAAGCGGCTAATTTATGCTGCCACGGATGACACGATGACGCGGGGATGACCGTGTCGGTATTAGTTGGCTTTCGATAAATTTGGAAAACATGTGACGATTCTTTTCTTGTTTTAGTTAAGTCGCGGAAATTAAGGGAACAATCTTGTTCCAATTCAAGTTTAAATTTAATGTTGTCGTGGACTCTATTTATTTTATTGAGTAAAACATCCAGATGTCTCCTTGTGCCAGACCAGCAAATAATTATGTCGTCTACATATCGATAGTAATATAAGATATTTTGATTGACAACTATATGTTGTTTCTCGAAATTATCCATGAAAATGTCCGCCATAAGGGGACTTTGAGGGGACCCCATAGCTAACCCATCTTTTTGTAGAAAAAAACGGTTATTAAACCGGAAATAGTTTTGTTTCATACAGAGAAAAGTTAAGTTAAGAGGATCATTTATTTCTCCGGGATGTAGACGACGTTTATCAAAGAGATCTGCGAGTATACGCAAACAGTCAGGGG